TGATATAGCAAAGAGGCCTGACCTTCCTTGAAATTCACTTATGCCCTGTCACTCAAGGGTACTCGTGGCACTGTAGCTGAGTGTTTAGGCGTGTCAAGATCCCATCCTGCACTGTCGCGGTTCGACACCCGCTGAGGGTGTTGATAAGACCGATACGAGGTCGAAACTGCAGTCCACTGGTGCCTGGATGATAACAACTTTTGGGAATGTAAATGGTACGTAAATTGGAGTAAAGCTAATGCTTAATGAAAGGAAAATAGCATTTATATGAAGAGTAAAGCAATGCTTTACTGATTAAACTTAAATGAGGTTTATGATAATAGTTTACTTTTAACGAGAGGATATTTGTATATAAACTAAGTAAAAAAAATTAAATCCAAAGTAAGATTATGAACGCACCCTTCCCATGATCCGAATGAGTCGGCAGATCAGCTTGTATTGTCTCTGAACTAGAAGTAGTCTTGTGGTGTGTCAATAAACGGCGTGAATTTTCTTCATTAGCCAGGAGCTGACTAACAGCTGTTAACTTTGCAAGCCGCAACAGTTCTGCATCCTGACATCTAGAAGCCTCGATCAACAAATTGTCAATCTCGAAAATAGCCATCTTGCCACGTTGTTCAAAAGGGCCATCATAACCGCTACCAGTAGATGCTACGGCAACAGGCTGTGGAGACTGGGGCTGCTGTTGCGGTTGATGTTGATGCCCACTTGGGCTAAATGAAGGAGTAGATGTTGGAGTCGAAGTCGGTGTGGTGATGCCGGCGCCAGGAGTTACCGGAGCAGGAGCAGCTCCAGATACAATGCCGGTGCCCGCCACTACAATAAAGTAGCGATAGTCAATAACATCGTCATCGCCGGAGTTGATGTCAAAATTTTTTGGCAAACTAGTCCGTAAAAGACAGGCGATGGCACCTCCTGGAGAAACTCCGGACGTCGAAACAATACCTCCCAAGACATTCTGCATAGGAAAGGCAGATTGAGCCAAGGAGGCAGGCAAGAATATTCCAAGACTTGATAACTAAGGTAATAGGCAAAGTGACAAGAGAAAAGACATTAACATAGAACATAACCAAAAAAATAAAGCAAGATTATGGCTAGCAGGGTAATACTGATTACAACATCAAAAACTCCGAGAGTAAAAAGTCATATACATCAATTGATGTGGTAATTCCACAAGATATTATTCCGGACAAAGATATATCTCTGTTGCTGTATTTTAAATATTTCTGACAAATTTTAAAAGAAGTTTAAGATACGAAGATAAAATCAGTTTCGATGAATCTCCTGAAATAACATTGTTGGGGGGACTTTCAATTCGTATGAAAGTGTATGAAGAAGACATTCGTAGGTCGATCTCACCAGAAGACGGATGAATCCCATTGTAATGCCGCCGTTTGGCTTTTATACGACGTCCAGGTTGACGCAGTCCACGAGACCTCCCTCATTTCGGATGAAAACGGGCTGAGCTTTCGCCCATCATATGATGGACACCATCAGAGCAGGGTCTTATTCCTGTAAAAGTATCACGTTGACACTAGGGCAAGAAGACTATCCGGCTCTATTTTACCTCTTATATAGACTCAATAAAGCTAAAGAAAATAAAAAAACTTAGATATTTTAGTTAATTATCTTCATACCGAAGAAGTTTAAGAAAGTAATTAGTTTTCTCCAAACTACCATCTTTCTTTGAACGAGCATGTTAAGACTTGATGGCCCGGAGCTAACGTTAAGCTTATTTCTAATTACTCTGTGTTATGACCGGTTTTGTGTACCGACGTTAGCACACATACACACTTAAACATATGTGAAATAAGCAAGCCTTTCTATATCAATCTACCTCTAAAATTTTTATAGTAAGGAGTATATATATATATATATATATATATTAATGACTTACTGGTAGTCTCAAAAATCTACTTACATACGAAAAATGAGTATATATATCATAAAGCAAGTAGCCGGTCAGCCCTCTTGACTTAACTTGTGGCTTTTTTATGAATGAATCTCAGCTCTGATGATGTTTATCATATAAAGAACGAATGCTCAGCCCGTTTTCTCCCGAAACGTTGAAGGATGTCTCGTGGACTGCCTCAACCTGAATTTTGGCTGCAGTATAATGCAAATCAGCCAGCGTGTTCTAATGATATTGGCCTATGTATCTCTTCATCATGTATTTCCATACGAAACCAGTCTTCACATCAACCTTGTCTCAGGGCATTCTTCGAAACCCACATTTTCTTCGTATATAAATGATTTTTTTATCAAGAGAAAGAATGGAAATTAATAAAGTAAAGAATCGCTAGTTAATATAAAACAATATATTAGTTGAGATGTAGGTAATTATAAGTGATCTCAATCGGATCAAAATCAGGAAGTGATCATTAAATAGATCGACAAATCTTGCGATTTATTCTATATAAGAATAAAAAAGTGAGAAAAGAAATCAATGGAAAATAGCAATAGTAATATCTACGCAGATACAGAAAAAAATAAAATCAAACGTAAACTGCTTAAAAAATCCTTAGACATACTGGACCAGACGAAAGACCAAAAGAAGGTAGGCCACGATTTCTAATTGAGGTTAGATCAACCGCGTTAGGAATGAAAAATCCGGTCATTTCAGCTGGATGGAGGCCAGTCGCAGGGCGGAGGCTGTTCCCCCTTCCGATTCCAATTCCAATATTAGCAGAGACAGCGTTTTCAATACTGCTAAGAGCAGTCAGGCCTGGTGCACCAGTTGTAATGGTTCTACTCCCAGTGCCACCAGATAACGCGGAAGCGAGTGCATGAAGCATAATGATACGTTGATGCTGTTGGTTTGTGGAGCAGCCTGACACGTTGGTATTGGTAGTTACAGTAGTAGTGGTGGTGGTAGTAGTAGTAATAGTAGTAGTGATGGTCGTATTGGCAGAAGTAGAAACAGCAGCGGCAAGAAGGCCGGGCATAAGGGTAGGAGGCATAGCAACAATACTAGATGAGGAAACCTTCGGTCGGGTCTCATCAGGACAGGATAAAGAGGTCTGCGACAGTGACACATGTTGAAATGATGATGAAGATGAAACCGGTAAAGTTTGGACTATGCCAAGTGTTCGCATGGGGTCCTTTGTGGAACCTTGCTCAGTGATGTGATTAGCATAAGAGAGGAGTCCAGAACCAATGAGAGAATGTGGAGTATGTTCCACAATGCCCTGAAGAGAGAATGAGTGAGTATTCGCAGCCAAACCTGAACCACAGGCCGAATGAATAAAGGGTCTAAAAGAATCCTTATTGCTTCCTTGCCTAGACTCTCCAGACTCCAATAGGTCGTCTAAATTGGTGTGATATTTAATGGCAGGCAGCAGAAGATGTGGATTGGCACGCAGCAGAAACGGCCATATTGGAAGGTTGTCAAAATTAGATCCAGAAGTCTGACTAGGCTCCAGGCCAGCCGCTCGCTCAATAGAGGCAGAAATGTCCGTCGTAAAGACAGGAAGCTAGTGAAAACAAAAGAATATTAGAGGTCGACCTCTTGTATAATAAGGATAAAGACTAAGTAAAAAGCATATAGTTCTTATTTTCTATTGATAGGCATGTCATGAAGAAACAAATGATGAGCAAATATTTCGA